GCCGACCTCATACGTCATCTGCCCGGAACTGCTTCCGTTTACAACAGTGAGCGCAAGCTAGATTAAATTGATTACGTTTTAAATATGGTTATTTTTCTTACAAAAAACGCATCAATTCGCTACAGGAGGCCTTTGTTCAACCCCCGGAGCCGTGTGCTTTATTTCACTTCTTTTGGACTGATGAACTGCAACACCCGCTGACTGCCATTAAACAGCTTGGAAGATCAAAGACAATTTTTAATATAACTCCGACTGGAAGAAGAAAGTCATATACACCTAGAATGACTTGAGGGCAAGTAATTCATGGGCTAATTTTCTTTTTTGGGTGAACTAACCCTTTAACAATAAACTCAAATCCAACCAGATTGTAAAAAGTGATTTTTTCGAAGATTATTGGAGAATATTTTACTAGAAATTTTTGTTTTTCTACTTAAAAATTTTACTTCAAAGTATTAAGTGGCATTTCTTTCCAACTGTTTGTGAAATGTACTAGCAATTTCCATCCAAAATAAGTCAAAATAAGTCAAATGCAACCACACAAAAAAATTATTTTGAAAGATATATTGAAAAAACATACTATTTCACTCTTTCCACTTCACAATTTCATATTTAATTCAATGTGTTACTTGCCTTTTGTTAGAAATTAGTAAATTTTATAAATAACTACAAAGAAAAAAGTTTCAAAGTAAATGCAACCACATTCTAAAAAAATATTTTTTAGAAGTTATAAATAAAACATTTAAAAGATTATCAGTGTAGGTTTTACAAAAAATACTTTAGTATTTCTACTTCAAAATCTCATGTTTAATTCAATGTGTTACTTGCCATTTCTTTTATTTGTCAAATTTCATAACAATTTCTGAGTAAAAACTTTCAAATGAAAATAAAACGCAACCATAATGTTAAAAAAAAATTATTTGAAGTTGTAACCGAAGATTATTGTAGTACATTTTACAAGAAAATAAAATTTTTGTGTTTCCTCGCCAAAATGTCATGTTTATTTCAATGGCTTTACTTGCCATTTCTCATTTCTTCAACTCAAATTAAATCAGATGCAACCACACTAAAAAAAAAGATAATTTGAATTTATAAACAAAGCTTATTGGTGTGTTTTACAAGAAAATACTATTTCAGTGTTTCTGCTTCAAAATATCAGTATAAAGTGTCTTATATTTTCACAAATAACAGTAAGCGCAGCCAGTTCTGTTTGCTAAAATAACAAAAAATCCTTTTATTAAACATATACTGTAACTCCTCCATTCCCACAAGCACTCTAGCCCCCGTCACGACCTCTCTCCTCTTCTAGCAGGGTTGCAATTTCATGTCGCAGGGCGCCGAGGTCGTTTCACCTCTAGGGATGAAGTGCAAGCTGTATCAGCAGTGCCATCAGCGCTGTGTGTGAAATGTCTGAAGTTCACCAGCAACCAGCAGTCCCACCAATCACTAGCTCCAGGGTTTGTTTAAGGCCCCGAGGGGGGCTCCATGGATGCCATGCATGTCAGGAGTGTGGCAGGTGCATGGCCTTTAGCACTCACTCACCGCTGTGTGTTGGCTGGGGCAACTGCTTTTTTTACTTCATCGCCTTTCATTTAAATGTTTATGATTCTTGTAGTTAAGAATATATATACTGTATATATATATATTAGGGATGCTCCGATCAGGATTTTTGCAGCCGATACTGAGTACCGATTTCTTGTCATGGTGATCGGCCGATGCCGATTATGATTCTTCAAGCTTTATATAGACGGTTTCATCGGTCACACGCGCCTGGCCCGAAGTTAACTTCCGGTCTGTTTGTTTATCAGTCTGGCTAAGGCGCTGGCTACAAACACAGTTAAAGTTAAGGTGACGAGTAGACTGAAGTTGGGCTCAGGTGGTTGTGCCGTTTATTTATTTGTGACGCTCACAACAATATCAAAACTGAGGCTTCATTGACTAAACATGAGCATGTACTGCACGTTTAAAAATCAAAACTATTTCTGAAGGAAGACTATCTTTAGAAAATTTTCGATGTCATTTCATTTCATCTTGCATTTTATATGCCTGATAAAGCAGTGTTTGTGAGCTCAGCGGTGCTTTGTGTACAGCGGTTACTGGGGAAATCTCTGTTTCTCCCGCTTTAAAGCACCTCCTGCTGGCAGAGAATTAATTTGCATTTTCAGTAAGTCCGTCTGATTTACGCAGCAAACATATTTTGCTTTTCCTATATCCATGGGTGCTGCAGATAATCCGCGGGCCGGGTAATAAAAAATGCACTCTGATTATTTGCGGGTGGGTCGCGGGTGGATAAAATAAATCATAAATGCTGCGAATATTAACAAAATGTTTTTTAAAGAGGTCATATGATGTGATTTAAATTTTTCCTTTCTCTTTGAAGTGTTACAAGCTCTTGGTGCATAAAGAAGATCTGTAAAGTTGCAAAGACTGAAGTCTCAAATCCAAAGAGATATTCTTTATAAAAGTTAAGAGTCAACCACGCTTACCTAAAACAGCTCATTCTAACAGGTCCCCACGTCTACCTCACGATGTGGGAAGATTTGCATAACACCGCCCAAATGTTCACGCAAAGAAAGAAGGTGTAACTTTTGTTCTCGCTGTAGTATTGTTGCTGCCGCCATGTCGTGAAGACGCTGTGTTTCGTTGTGAAAGCGAAACTACTTTGTTTGGCCTTCCAAAAGAGGACGATATTCACTTCGTCATGCCTGGAGCTGATCCGTACTGGTTGCTGAGGAAATACATCAACTTCACGCTGTGAATCGCCCGATCGGCTTTCACCGAGGACGAAGCGGAGTCCAGCCCGGGTTCGTCACATGTGGTTGCCGCAAGCCTGCCGGCCGCTCCTTCGTCGAATCTGCCGGCCGTGCTGTACTCAAGTCAACTGGCCGTCTCTCACTCTAGCCCGCCGTGTGTGACGCTGTGTGTTTCGTTGTG